TTTTAAGAATATAGCCCAGGGACAAATCAAAGGGAATAGTAAAGGCCAGCTTCACTCTGGAGTCCTGTAGCAACTAGCAAGGGACTGACCTGAGCCACACACTGAAGGGCTGCAGGGCGGGGGAAACTCACCAACCTGGAGAGATGGAAACCTGGTCGGTCACTCAAGAGTCCTGGAATTCAGCAGCCATGAGGAAGAAAATTGCCTTAAGACAAGATGCTGCTGCTACTGCTGTAGATTGCATTTTTTCTCAGGAGAGGGGGCAGTGGAGAAGAGACAGAAGAGTGACTCTACACAAGGAACCAGAACTTTATGGGCTGGGGATTTAGCTCAGTGGCACCACGCCTGCCTTACAAGCGCAAGGTCCTCAGCTCAATCCCTGGTACCAAAAAAAAAAAAAAAAAAGGAACTTTATGTTCGGGCCAGGGCTTGTCTTTATCTTCACTGTCTCAAGGGCAAAAAGACAAGATCAAAAGCTTTCCTGGGACAGGTCTCCAGTCCTTAGTAAAACATGTTTCCAAAGACAAAAGCTACAATTGACTCTCAATACAACAGTATTTGCCTGACATGGTGGCGCACACCTGTGATCTCAGCACTTGAGAGGCTGAGACAGGAGGATCGCCAGGAATTCAAGGCCAGCCTGGGATACTAAGTTCAAGGCCAGCCTAAATCATATAGCAAGACCCTATCTCAAAAATCCAAAAAATTAAAACAAACCCCCCACCCCCCAAAAAACAATAGAGTTGGGCATAGTGGTGCATACCTGTAATACTAGCACTTGGGAGGCTGAGGCAGGAGAATTGCTTGGAGTTCAAGGCCAGCCTGCATTACAAAGCAAGACCCTGTCTCAAACAACCAAAAAACAAAACAATACAACCCCAGGGCTGGGGATTTAGCTCAGTGGCACCTCGTCTGCCTCACAAGCGCAAGGTCCTGAGTTCGATCCCTAGGACCAAAAAAACAGAAACTCCCCCCCAAACTCCACTATTGCCAAAAAGTTAGTTTTCTAACTTTTTAGAGAGAGTGAGAAAGAGCAGATTAAAGACGCTCCATTAAGCTGTACTGTTTGGGACTCATAAATTTGTGTGCTTCTGGAGATAGCTGTCTCTGTTGTCATCCAGAGATCAGTTTTCTCCACTGTGTCTCAGGATGAGAGCCTCTCTCTCTTTTTTTTTTTTTGTAACTCACAGTTAGGAAATGCATTTTGTTTTAAAATTCAGTATTCACACACATACACATGCAGCTATCAAAAATGTAACACAACAACTCTTAACTTTATATAATAGACTTTGTTTTCCTTTTTTTGGTACTGGGGATCGAACTCAGGACCTTGTGCATGCAAGGCAGGTGCAATGCCACTGAGCTAAATCCCCAGCCCTCTATTTCTTTTTTATTAATTAAGTGTCATAAAGAATCCACTTGTCAAAAATAGGCTTTTTTTTCCCCAGTAGTGGCATCAAACTCAGGACCTTGCACTTGTGAAGCAGGCAGTGGCACCACTGAGCTAAATCCCCAGCCCTCAAAAGCCTATTTTTGGGCTTGGGATGTAGCTCAGTAGCACCACACCGAGTTGGATCCCGGGTACCAAAAAAAATAGGCTTTTGAAAGGAACGTTTATTCCACTAAACCAGAGACTAAAAATCAGGGACTAAAATCACAAGATTCTAGTAGCTAGCTGGGAAGAGCCAAGTTTATCACATCCGTGTGGGGATGGGCTGACATTGGGAGAGATAGTGGTAGCTAGCTGGGAGAGATTTCATCCATGAGTGTATGAGTGGATGGGCTAACACGGGGGGGGGGGGAACTAACTGGGAAATGAATCAAGCTTACATAGGTATTGAAGGGGCTAAGGAATCTAGGGTGAAATACTTGTGACTTGGATGTCCAAGGACGGTCTGCTCAGGTGTGCACAAAATTATTGGACTTCTTGGCACCAGGGGGGTTATGTATTTCCCTTGAGGTACATTTGCCCTATTTACTGAGGAGCTACTATTGTTTGCTAAAAGCAGCCTGTTTGCTTTGTCCCATTTGTTTGTGAAGGACTCACTTAAGTCAGACCTGATATTAAGTTTATTGGTACATTTTAGATATATATAATGATCATATTCATCACAGGGAATTTGTACCTGTACATGATATATCGTGGTTCTTATTTTTTCCCATTCCCCTTCCTTCCCTTCAATCCTTCTATCCCTCCTTATTTACAAAAGCTTTCTATTTTTTCCCTTTCTCATTTTTTTTCTTTCCCTTCCTTCCTTTCGCCTGCCCCCTCCCTAGTTTCCCTTCTCCTTGGAACATTTGCTTCCTATTTCATAGTGTCTATTATACACTTTGGTCCTCATTTATACTTTCAGTTTCTCACATCAAAAGAAACAATCTGGTATTTACACATGTGTCCAATTATTTCAGTTAAGAGTATGGTCTCATGGTGCATCTATTTAGCTATAAATTTCTCAAGTTTATCTTTCTTTATGGCTGAGTAGTACTACATTGTATAAGCCACATCTTCTTTATCCATTCATTGGTTAATGGGCATTTGGACTATTTCCAAGATTTAACTATTATAAACTGTGGATTACAAACATGGGTGGGCATATAGATGAGTCTTTCTTGTCAGATGTGCCAAGTTTATGCCCCCTAAATACTGAAGAATGAATTCCTAAGGACAAAGGAGGTTAAGAGTAGGAAAGGTTTATTAAGAGAAAGCACCTGAGAGACAGGAGGATTTCTTTCTCTTTTTTTTTTGGTATCAGGGATCGAACTCAGGACCTTGTGCTTTCTGAGGCAGGTGGCAGAACCACTGAGCTAAATCCCCGGCCTAGGAGGGTTTCTAATAAGGGTGGCCACTGAAGCTCTTGGTCAGGGGTAATTTATACAGCAAAATCACAATGGGGTTACAACGTGGGTCAAACTAAAATCAATCTGTAGGATTACAAGTAGAGCCGCTTAGGTAATACTGATCTAATAGGGAAACAAGTCATGGAGCAAGAGTACATGGAAAGTCAAAATCATTTCTAGGGGCCAGGGATTTAGCTCAGTGGTGCTGCACTTGCCTCTCAAGTGTAAGGTCCTGAGTTTGATTGTAAATACCAAAAAAAAAAGAGCCAAAGATCATTTCTGGGAGAGGAGTATGGATCTGGATGTTGTGGTCACCCAGGTACGCATCTGATGCCTAGCTGAGTCCACTGGACCAGGTGGTATTAATTATAGAATAATCTCAAGTTGCTGCTGTTTATCTGCCAGCCTGGGGCCTGGCTCTCTTCTGATTTGCCCCCAGCCACAATTCTGATGTCTTTATTTTTTTGTGCTGACTTCCTCAAGGGGCCAATCTTTCTCTGATTACATTATTTTTTTCTAACTTAGCTGCCTATAATACAGTGAGTGAACATGGCCAGCTAAGGAGTGTCCCTGCCATCACTGAGGTTCCTTCTTTTGAGAGACCTTGACTTTCAAAGTGTCTGAATCACTACAGATATCTATTAAACTCTATTATGAGCCTGGTACTGAATTAAGCTCTCTTCATAGGCCATCTCATTTACATATTTGTTTACTCACTTACTTATCTATGTTTTTTTGGTGTTGAAGATTTAGCCTATGGTTTTGTGCATGCTACGGTTGTGTGCAACCTGTAAGCTACATCCTAGCCTGCCATCTCATTTAATCATCTCAATAACCTTATACAGTTACCAGCAAGATTTACTGTTCTGTTTTTGAAAGGCACCTAGTCTTACCAGAATTTTGTAGGAAAGTTTTAAATTCACTCTTTTCTTTCTGAAGTTATGACATTTATGTAAGTATGCATTTATTTTTTGCAGCGCTGAGGGTAAAACCTAGGACCACACTAGGCACTTTGCAGGTGAGCCACCCTTCTCAACTCCCAGTTCTTTTTGTTTTGTTTTGTACTGGGGGTACTGGGGATTGAATACACTGAGCTACAAGCCCTTTTTTGCTTCATACAGGGTCTTGATAAGTCCCTAAGTGCCCAGGTTGGACTCAAAATTGTGATCCTCCTGCCTCAGCTTAATAAATGGAAGGAGGGGGGAAGGGAAAGGAAGAGGATGAAAAGACGGTTAAGATGTGTTATGTACACGTACCAACTCCCCAAAGGAATGTAATCATTATGTACTGCAATCATGTACTACTAAAAAAAAAGCTCTAAGAAAAATAAACAATAGATTAACAAACATTAAGGTACAAAAACGTGCTAATAAATTGCACAGTATGAGTCTCAAAGGAGGGCTTCACAGTTGAAGCGTATATAGAGCTAGTAAAGGGGTAGGGATTTGGCTTGCCGGAAGGGAGGTCTGTAGAGCGCTGGTGTGTGTGTGTGTGTGTGTGTGTGTGTGTGTGTGTGTGTGTGTGTGCTCAGTCAGCTAGGGTTGTCCAGTTACCCAGACGAGCTCCTTAGGTGACAACCACCAATGAACTAGGCCAGGTGTCTGATCCCAATCTTCCCGTGAAAAGACCTTTCTGAGACCTAAAGGGTTTTTAAAAATCTCCTTCAGGAGTGTAGGTATTTCCTTTAGAGATGTAAATGTCTTACAAAAGGGCAGCCTTTCAGAACGAATCCTTTCAGAATAGCAATTCTTTTGTGTGTAGGTGACTGAAGGGGTGCACCTGGAGACCAAACCGGAGGCCTTGGTCCTGCATTACATCCTCTGCCTTTTATTTTGAGCTAGTCTTAATAAACGGCTAAATTGCCCATTTTGGGCTCCAATTTGCCATCCTCCTGCCTCCGCCTCGCAGAGTGCTAGGATTACAGGCCTGCGCCCTCACGCCCTACTCAGAACAGTCATCTTGAAACACGCCAAAAAAATGTATTTCGAGGTGGCATATTTTGCGTCCGTAGGTAGAAGCTGCAAAACACTTCGCTGCATCAAAATATTACAGGCCCTCAACTTCGATATTCAAAGGCGAGAGACAAATTATACGGAAGAGCGGGCGGGCCCGGGGGGCGGCTGCAGCCCCGCCCTCTCCCTCGAGGCACCCTCACGCCCGCGCTCGTCTGCTACGCATGCGTACGCTCTGACTCCGCCCCCTTGCAGCGCGGTCGGAGCCATTTCGCCTCCTCCACGCGAGTTGCGGGTGCTTCTCCGCAGTCTCTGTGGAAGACCAGAGCTACGGACAGACGCTCAGGAGAGGGTTGTACAGTCGGGCACCGGGAAGCAGGGACTGGTAAGAAAGTGATGTAGCTGCCATGCGGGGCCGTACGGGCGCGCTAGCGGGCGGGCGGGCCAGGGCTGTAGGGCCGGCTTTGTTGCGAGGCGCGGGCCGCCTTGTGGGGGTGGGGCGGCGGCCAACTGGTGTGCGCGTGCGCGAGGGCCGTGGCGCACTGGGGCTGCGCGGCGACGCGTGGCTCCCGCCCTTCGCCGGTCTTCCTAGTTCTTATCCCAGTCCAGAAAGCCCGCTTCTTTCTTCGGCCTAGCACGCTCGGCTCCGCCGCGGCTGAGGGAAGGGAGAGGTGAATCTCCTGTGGTGGTTGCGGCCGGTACGGCACGCTCACCTAGGGCCCTTCGTTAATTCATTGCTGTGACAAATGTCCTATGGACCTGTGGGTGCAGCAGCACGCAGGTTTAGTGCAGTCCTTGCCCTTCTCTTAGGTTGCGGTGGACTGGGGTGCGGTGAGGAGCAGGCGAGATGAACATAAATGCCAATGGTTTGGTAAAAGGAATTTAAGATTGTAAAGGGAAAGCAGTATTCTAGATAGGGAAGGGGCCCCGGAGGAGGGGACTATTTAGGCCTCTATCTTTGCGTTAGGGCCAAGACGGCTTCCCCTTCGAAGGTGCAGAGGTAATTAGCTTTGCAGCAAGAGACTGGCCAGGAGCGGAAAGAGGGCACGGTGTTTGGAGAGGGTGGTAATGTTTAGAGACAAGGACAGGGTTTAGCTTGCCAGTAATGGAAACTAGTGTAATCCTGCAGTACTACTCCCCATGTGCAGTAGGGGTGGCAGGAGCAAAGGGATTGGAAACAATGTAGTAGTGGTGTTAGTAGATCTGGCTGGGGTCACGCTACCTTGAAATTGCGCATTCTCCAATTAGGATCTCTGCCCTCCGGGACAAATTACTATTTTTCTCATTGGTAAAAAACGAATAGTAAGGGCCGGGGATTTAGCTCAGTGGCACCGCGCCTGCCTTGCAGGCGGCAAGGTCCTAAGTTCGATCCCTGGTACCGAGGGTTGGGGTTGTTGGGTAATAATGTTTGTCCGTACAATTGTAAGGGTTAAGTAAAATAGTAAATATAAATGGTCCTCCAAGAATAATCTCTGGCACACAGTAAGAACTCTGCAAAATTAGTGGAAAAGGATCGATGGGGAGTGGATTCTGGTTCCAAAGTTGTGATTTAGGTAATTTGGACGGTGGGAATGTATGGGTGGGGGTTGGAACCGATTAGAGGAGGCAGTTTTAACTGTTTTACTGAAATGACAAGTTAGCATACAGATGGATGTATGAAGGTTTCTGTTGGACGAATTTAACTTTGGAGCTTCAAAGAGAAAGGAATAAACTTTCTGTAAATATTTGGGCGTCATTAGCATGTAGTCAGTTTGAATATTGTAGAATTAGATGAGACTACTTAGGAAGAAAGAAATTTGATAATAGTCTTTTTTTTTAAATACAGTCTTTTTTTTGGTGCTGGGGATTGAACTCAGGACCTTGCACTGTCGAGGCAGGCGCGGTGCCACAGAGCTAAATCCTCGACACAATAGTCTTTTTTGATAATACAGTTTTATGTTATTCATTCTGGATCTGTTTTCTGAATTAATTATTCAGGGGTGGAATTCACAGATTGGCTTTGCTAGTTTACCAGTGATGTCACAAATACCTGAGATAATGGATATAGAGAAAGGGTTTTTTTTGCCCGAACAGGGACTCACTTTCTGTAGTTAGGCTGCTCTAGAACTCAGCAGTGATTCTCCAGCTTCAGCCTTCCAAGTGCTGAAATTACAGGCATCCACCATCATGCCTGGCTGAGAAGGTTTATTTTGGCTTAAGGTTTAAGAGGTTTCACACATCATTGGCTCATAGCTTTAGGACTTAGGAAGCAACAACGCACCATGGCCTGGAGTGTGTGGTGGAGCAAAGCTCATCTGATGGCCAAATTGCACATGTGAAGTTGTTGAGTTTTGGTCCCTTTCTCTCTTCGAAGGCACCCCCTTATGACTGGATGCTTTCCTATGAGGCCTCACCTCTTAAAGGTTCTACAACCTCCCAACTCAGAGCTCCACAATCAGCCTTTGGGTGTTTGGATTCATTTAGCCAAACACAGATTTGGTCTTTGATTTTTTGCATATAATTTAGACTCAACTATTTAAGCTGGTTGTCTCCCTATCCTTTTAATTTTTTTGTTGTTGTTGTTCAGGGAATCGAACTGTCAGGACCTTGCGCTTGCTAGGCGGGCGCGGCACCACTGAGCAAAATCCCCTGTCCTCCTTTAAATTTTTATAGACTTGTGTAGGAGAGTGCCAACAAGTGTGATACACTGCATTTCAGGGAAATAATATACTACGATTTTATTTCTTTTTTTTTCTTTTTCTGTTACTGGGGATCGAACTCGGGTCCTTGCGCTTGTGAGGCAGGTGAGGCACCACTGAGCTAAATCCCTGACCCATTAGTAAAATTTCTAAATGGGCAGTTTTAATAGCATGATAAAATACGCTGTGCTTCACCTAGATTTCAGTAATTTTCAGATATTGTTTATTTCTAGGCTTTGCAGTCATAATACTATTTTTAAACTTTTGCTTTTTTAAGGTCTGAAGAAGACACGTGAATCATGGGTGATATTAAAAATTTTCTGTATGCCTGGTGTGGCAAAAGGAAGATGACTCCAGCATATGAATTCAGAGCAGTAGGGAACAAAAACCGGCAGAAGTTCATGTGTGAGGTACTAAAGAATACAGTTCATTTATCTGATTTATGGAACTTGCTTTGGAAATGTTAGTCTATTGCACCTTGAGGGAGACTAAAGAATAGTTTATTATTTGATATTCTATTTCATTATAATACATTTTTTCTCTAGAGTTCGTATAGTACTTGGAATAAGCAGAGATTTTTTTTTTTGTTGCTGTTATTTTGTTTTGTTTTTTGGGTTATTTAATGAATTTTGTTTTTTGGTTTTTTTTTTACTTTTTTGGGGGGCGGTACAGGGATTGAACTCGGGTTCTTACGCTTGCAAAGCAGGCCATGGAACCATTGAGCTAAATACCCGGCCCTAGAATTTTCTTTTTTCTTACAGTGCTGGGTCTTGATCACAGGGCCTTGTGCATTGCTAGCCAAGCACTCTACCATTGAGCCACAGCCCTCAGCCCTGTTTTGATTATTATAAAATCAGATTTTAATATGGAACATTCTCTTATATGGGGAGAGAATATTTGTACCACTTTAAGAATCCCCCTTTTTTGATTAACTTATCACAGGACATTACATTTCAAGCTTTTTATAAGATTGCTCATGTGTTCTTGGCTTGTTTTTATCACTTTTGTATAAAGTAGATCTTTAAAAGTGAGCTGTTTGCTCACTTCGGCAGCATGTATACTAAAACTGAGCTGCTTGTAATCTCTTAATGGATTGGTTATTGAATTATGAGTTTTTAAAATTCCAGGATTACCCTGCATTAATAGCTTTTTTTCTTGACTTACAGGTTCGTGTAGAAGGGTTTAATTATACTGGCATGGGCAATTCTACTAATAAAAAAGATGCACAGAGCAATGCTGCCAGAGACTTTGTTAACTATTTGGTTCGAATAAATGAAGTAAAGAGTGAAGAAGTCCCAACTGTTGGGGTATGTACATATTGTCATGTACTTGGGTTGTATGTTGTGTAAGGGAAGCAGAAATGGCGTTCCTTACCTTTCTAGGTTCTTGGGGTATGAATTCCACTAACAAAACAGACTAACAGAGGTACAAATTTGTTATCTCCCCGGGGACATCACATGAAAGAACAGTGAATATCCAAAAACCCAATGAGTTCTTAGATACTTATACATGTACCCTTTGACTTACACTTGTTCTGCCTGTAATGGTGGGGAAGTAATATGCATTCAGTAGAAACCACAGCAATTTTCCCGCGGCCTATCAGTATACAGTATGAAAAACTCACAACTCCCAGTCAGCCATATGATCTCATGCGTAAACAAGCAATAAACAGTACACTGTGTTGACTAGCTATAGTGATTGGTAGGTTAAGCACACTAAATTTTTACTTGTAATACTTTTTAAGTTTATGGTGGGTTTATTGGGACACAATGCCATGTGAAGTTGAGGAACATCTTTTATCTTCCTGAGTCCTCAGAAGAATTGTCTGGACCTGGCTTCCTCCTTTAATTTCCTCTCCTGAGAATACTGTTAATCTTTTCAGGTTAATAAGCTTGGGGGAAGAGAGTAGCACAGGACAATTGAGTTCATTTTCAAATTCTCTTCAGGCAGATAAGGGAAGCTGATAGAAGGTGTTTTTCCTAGTATTCACTGTTTTCCAGGTATTCTCATCTTGAGGTCCAAAGTCTTGTATTTTGGGATGACAATTCCTAAACTTTTTTGTAAGATTATAGATTTTCATTACGTTTGGAGACCTAGGATGATAATTTTCACTTCATGTATATTGGTTTTTTTTTTTAATGTATAATGGTCTTTATAATTTTATTGGGAAAAAAGACCAGGGCACTATGTTCAAATATTCATCTAATTGTCCAAAGATTTACAATACTGAATCTGCATGTGCAGTTTCTTTTGTAAACTACAGTGCTCACTTATAAAGGAAAGGAAATTACTCATTTAAAAACTGCATCAGATGAAGGGTATTTTAAATATAAAGTTATGTTGTTCCTGATAATAACACATGCCCAGTGAGAATCAAAAGCTGGGAAAGCAGGTACACTTCCTACTTGAGTTACAGTGGTCATTTTCTGCAATGGCCTTTATAGTTTTCATTTGTTTTGAACTGCCATGAATTTACTATGAGATGTAGCCAAAGTCGGAGGAGAAAATGTAGGGAGAATAGTCCTTTTTTAGAGGAGAGTAATCCCTCCCTCCTAAATCAACGTAGGAAATGAACATCCTGTTGATTCTGTGTGAAGAAACTTAATGTAATTTCAGCTCATGCTGAGCTGACTTCCATCTTTTCATTGACTTGTTTGGTGTCATTCTTCTAAGTCAGGTGTGTTTAATTCTTCTAATTTTTCCAGTCTTCCCCTGTAGAAAGATTTTCAACAGGAACAGCACTGATGGCTCCATTTTCCTGTCCCTCTACTTTGTTGTCCTCTTTCAAAGCACATCTTTGACCATTTTCAGCCCTATCTCTAGAAGCTTGGTTTGTTCTCATCTTTATTTGAAGCATATGTGAAGAGTGGTTACAATAATAGCTATCTCATTTACATCTCTTGGGCTGTACAGGCTTAAATCAGTATCATTTACACTCACAGAATCATCAGCCTGTTCCTTGCTTCCTCATCATTGACAGTTTAGGTGAAATTCAGATACCTCAAAACCACTGGTCACTAGGGCTTTCCCTGGTTTTTGGGGGGTACCAGGGATCGAACTCAGGACCTTGTACCTGCAAGGCAGGCGTGGTGCCACTGAACTAAGTCCCCAGCCCGGGCTTTCCCTGTTTTGAGGTCAGCTTTCCTTTCCATATCTTGTTAAAGTTTATCTTGTCTTAGCTTCCACACAAGAAAAGATTATGGAGTGATTTTGGTAACATTTGTACCTAGGGCAGAACACTCAATTAGATCTTCTAATGAAATTTCATCTTTCTCTTTTCATCTTTTTTCAACAACACAAATCCAGGAGGAAGTGAAGTGCATGGCTGCACAAAATTATCACCCCCCTTTAGAGCCCATCCAAAACCAGCCATGCTTGTTATTTTCAGTCAAGGAAAAGCTTGCAGACTTTGAGTTTTTGGTTTTTTTCTTTTCAGCTTCACAGAGCTTCTTGTTCATTACTTCTAGCTTTTTCTCATCCCAATTATCCATTGTATCTTTCTGTTTATCTTTTTTTGTTTTGGAGATAATACCTTGCTATATAGTTCAGGCTGTCTTTGAATTCATTAGCCCAGGCTGGCCTCAGAACTCCTGGCGATCCTTGAACTACAGCCTCCTGAGTGCTGGGATTACAGGCGTGCACCACCACTCCTGGTAGCACTTTTATTTTGAGACAGGGTCTCACAAAGTCACTAAGTTACCTGGGTTCAACTTGAACTTTTGTTCCTCCTGCCTTAGCCTCTCAGAGTACTGGGATTACTGGTGTGCCCACCATGCCCAACCTTATCTCGGAACTTGTAATACACCTCTAGTACATTTTAGATGAATCCCAGTAATGAAACTATTACTGTGTTTTAGAGGAAAACAGTTTCAGCTCAGTTATCATCTTAATATTTTTTAAAATATCTTTTAATTGAATACTTATTACTAATGAAGTACTTAAGTAATACTTGACGTGCTAAAAGGTACTATCTAAAATTAATAGTAAATGCTGTACTAAAAGGGACTATACAGTGCTGCTTAGTGTTTGTGGAGATTAATACAGAAATGAGTAAATATTCAGAAACATTCTTACGTCGGTTTTATGTTTTTTCCATCTAATTAAAAAAATACAGATTTCTGTTTTGTATAACCTTGGGTTATACAGTTGCTTTTGGTGTATTTTATAGCAGAGATATTTTTTTTTTTTTTTTTTTGGTACCGGGGATCGAATTAGGCTCCTTGCGCTTGCACAGCAGGCGGTGAAACCGCTGAGCTAAATTCCCGGCCCTGGTATATTTTATAAAAATATTGTTTTTTTTGTTTTTTGGGGGTTTTTCTTTTTTGCGCCGGGGATCGAACTTGGGACCTTGGGCTTTCGAGGCAGGCGCCGGAACCACTGAGCTAAATCCCTGGCCCTAAAAATAGTTTACAGAAGTAGATTGGGAAGAACACTCAAAGGTACTTGATTGTTGAATTCTTAGCACCCAGAATGATACCTAGCTGGAATCTAAATGGAATCTCTTAAAAGATACTTATTGAACATTTAGTGTATTCATGAATATACTAAAACGAAAAGGTAAATTATATGTATAGCATAAACTGATACCACCTTTTGTGGGAAATTACATTTATGTCATGCTGTAATGTATTTGAATATTTTATATATATAGTCCCAAGGTGGTGAGTTGTGAATAATTTTATCTGCCCCTTTTCTGTCAGAAGAACTAATTTATAATCAGTCACTAAAAATAAAGGTGGCAAAAATACTGTGGGGAAGTGTGACAGGTGGCCGCCTTTGAAGTGTTAAAAGAATGTTGTAGTCCTTGTAAAGGTAAAAGTGAAAAGACTGACCCTTCTTACATATGTAACAAGTTTAAAAGAGCTCTACATTGAGTTTTCCTTTTGCAGATTGCACCTCCCCCACCCCCAGTTACTGAGGCTACTGAGGCTACTAACACTGGGGAGAACAGTGAAAGTTCACCAGCAACCATGGGAGGACCTCTTCCACCACACTTGGCTCTCAAGGCAGGTAAGAGACTCGAATATTTTTGGGGCCGGGGCAGTACCGGGTATCAGACTCTCGGGACCTTGCACTTGCGAGGCAGGCACCAGAACCACTGAGCTAAATCCCCGGCCCGAGACTTGAGTATGTATACATGACTGAGAAGATCCATACTTACTTGATCGTTGGCTCACTTTCTTGTATAGAAAAAGTAGCTACAGATGAGATGATATAATTACTTTTCATGTAAGTCATGGGCATTTCAGGCTCCTTTACAAGTTACTGAAATGTTGGGATTTCTAAACGTGGAATACCAAAAGCTGCATTAGGAAAAACTTTAAAATATTTAGGGTTTTTATGCTGGATGGGGTGATGCATGCCTGTAATCCCAGCACTCTGGAGTTTGAGGTCATCCTGGGTAGCAAAATCCTCTCAAAAAAATTAAGGTTTTCGGGGTTTTTTTTTGGAGGTTTGATTTATCAAGAAAACAATCATTTCTTTAACAGAAAATAATTCTGAAGCTGGGGCATCTGGCTTTGCTGCTCCTGGACCTACCTGGGACCGGGGAGCCAATTTGAAGGACTACTATTCAAGAAAAGAGGAACAAGAAGTAGAAGCGGTAAGGCTCCCAACCTGATTTATATCTCTGGAAATATAATTTGGGACTTAGTCCATAGCAAGGTTTAGGACGAGTCAGTAATAGTTTGATGATTTTTTTTTTAAGTGGTTAAGACTACTTGTTAACAAAAGTCACCATAACCCCAAACTAATGTTTAAGTCTGGTCATTCAAATTTCCTTTGGGGGGGAAAAAAGTATTTTTAGCTAGGCTTGGCAGCATACAACTATAATCCTAGCACTCTGGGAGGCTGAGGCAGGAGGATTGCAGGTTCTAGCCCAGCACGCACGCACAATTTACTCAGCGAGACTGTCTCAAGGAATGGGAATGTTGCTTGAGGTGAAGACCCTGGGTTCAATCCCCAGTACTGTATTAAAAAAACAACACTTGTTCTGGTGGTAGTAAAAGTTCTCTTTTGTTGTATAGCAAATATAATTGTCTTAGAAAATCTTTTGAGCACTCTACTGTGTGTGTGGTTTGTTTTTTTAAGCCAGGGTCCCACTATGTAGTGCAGGCTGGCCTTAAACTTATGTAGCCCAGGCTGACCTCGAACTAATCCTCCTGCTGCAATAAAAATATCTTAATAGGACAGCTTATTTTTCCATTTAATAAATTTGAAGTGTTAAGGCACAAAAATTTGTTAAACATTTCATTTAAACAATTCAAATACAGTACCTTAACTATAACTTATTTAGACAATGGGAGCTTCAGGTACATTAAAAACTGATTCTGGTTCAGTTTTGAGTAGGACTAGAAACAACTAAAAACAGTTTTTGCCATATAAAAGGTAGTACAAAGGATACTGTAAATTCTAGTACTTTAAGAATGCATAATGAAACTATTAAGTGCTCACTTCGGCAGCACATATACTAAAATTGGAACGATACAGAGAAGATTAGCATGGCCCCTGCGCAAGGATGGTACGCAAATTCGTGAAACGTTCCATATTTTTACTGGATAAAGAAGATGTGGTTTTTTTAATAAAATGGACTGCTACTCAGCCATGAAGAATGAGAAACTAGAGACATTTATAGCTAAATGGATGCATATTGAGGCCATACTCTTAAGTGAAATAAATAGGACACACGTGTTAATACCTAATAGTTTCTCTAATGTGAGAAATTGAAAGTGTAAATAAGGATGAAAATGATTAAAATGAATAATTGATAATTTGAAATAGGAAAAAAGGTCCAAGGGTTTGGGGATGGTGGGAGGAGAAGGGGAAAGGGAAGAAGGGAAAGGAAAAATTATGAGGAAAAAAAAATGGAATCAAACTCTGTTTAAATAGGGAAGGGTGGAGGAGGTGAAGGGTGCACAGGTAATGGGAGAAAAAATAAGAACTAAGATACATCATGTTCTGGTACAAACACCCAATGATAAATGTAAATGTATTTTATACCTAAAATGTACCGTAAATATGTATATAAATTTTAAAAAAAAGAAACTATAATTAGTGCAGCCGAATTTCATTATCATTGATTCCACAGACCCTAGAGTCAGAAGAAGTGGATTTAAATGCTGGGCTTCATGGAAACTGGACCTTAGAAAATGCTAAGGCTCGTCTGAACCAGTATTTCCAAAAGGAAAAGATCCAAGGAGAATATAAGTACACCCAAGTGGGTCCTGATCACAACAGGTTTGCTTGTTTCGCTCTTTTCTTTCTATAGTAAGTTAAGGTTGCTCTGATAATCATTGTTGAATGTATTCTGTTTTTGTATATGTTACCTGGTTTATTATATGGATAGATAGTGAGCTGTGAAAAGGCAGTAAATGACATTGTACAAGAATTACTTTTGGCTTGTAATGTGTAGTTTACTGTGGCTTTCACATAAGAGTGCAATGTTAGCTGTTAAGTTCTGCCCCCCCCCCAAAAATTGGGTAATGCTAGGCTTTTAAGATTCTCATTTGAATTGGAAAGCAAAAGTTAACAACCACAAATAGTGGTTTGTTGCTAATTAACTTAAAATACTAGCCAGAGGTGGTGATTTTATTCTGTATTGTTCCATTAGAGACAGTTCTAAGTAATTTTTTAATGGGTCAAGTTAAATGTGTAAGTTTCCTAGTCTGAGGTAGGTTGTGTTGTATCTAGATCCAAATTTCACTCACTTTGAAAGTTGCCAGCTCTCTTTAAGAATCCTGTTAAAATTTAAGGACTGGAAAGTTGAAAGACTGCTTCAATCTTTGTGTGTGGTTTAAATTAGCAAACTCTGGTCAAATTAGCGGCATTTTTTTTCTGTTAAATTTGTAGAACTGAATATAAAGGGAAGTTATGGGACAGTATGTTTCTCAGCCTGCTTGTTCTTCCTAAGAGCATTCCAGGGTGTAGTAATTATTACTCCCAGGAAGGCTCATATGGATTAGACTTTTCTGGGGGCCACCCTATTTTTATTGGAAGAGAAGGGGAAGTTTTAATGGAAACATTCTGGATGATTCTATTTGCTGTCCTTAATTGGAATTACTCAAATTTGAAAATATTTTCCTCGAAAATCAAACTATTCTCCTTTGGTTGCATTTAGCAACCCTAAAATAATCACTACTAAAAATAAAAATTTGATACTGGTCAAAATGATATTCAGAGCATGGCTCCTCCTGCTTCCCACTGTTTTGTTCAATCCTGAATTCTCAACTACTGTACTTGTGTCAGACTGAAAATCTCAAGTTACGAAGGAAATCTAATTATTGATTTGTTTTCTTTAATATTTTGTCCTGACCTGATTGGGCTTAATAGCACTTAGTGACTTTAAGAACACTAATATATCTAAGTGTGCCTGAAGCTCATTGTTGCAAACATTTTTTGCTATCAATATTTTATCATTAATTTCTGATACAAAGAATTCAGGATATGATAATGTAGGAAACTGAGACAGTTGCGGGAGCTGGGACAGCATTGCTCTTTGTATGTCTTTTATTGAAAGGCATAACAGACAGCAACACCAGAGGTCTGTGTTCATACACACATGTGCTGCTGCTTAGGCTGAACTAAGCAATCACATGGGAAACTATTGTAAACTGATTTCTGGTGTCGCTGTTCCCCCTAGGTGGAGGAGAATGAGATTGAGTGCTGACTTTAAGCCTGGCTGAGAAACATACTGTCATCGGTGTCATTAATGAAAGGGTGGATGTTGTTCCCCTGAAAGCCAGTGGCCTTTGACCCCTGAAGCCCCTGTGCCTGAAGGTCAGTTCACAAGAGGTATAGGAAGGAGTCTAACATTTTTTTTTTAAGCCTCGCCTAACCTTTTATTTTACAGCGCCAAGTTAAGCTTAGATGTACCTGAGCAGTGCAAGGACCAGAATGCATGTTTCAAAGGGCAGTTTTTCCCTTACTAAATCCCTAAATTTATTCCTTAGAACCTACCAGCAGTTTTAGCTATAATGTGATAAAATGTGTTTTGTTCTCTAGGACCTGATTTAAGTAAATGTGATATTTATAGTTACCACAGGCTGCTTCCAGCTGCAGGGAAATATTGGAACTCTTATCTCAGGAGCTACTGATACAAAGTGTTTACACATACAGTTTTAAGAGATTTGTAGTCATTAATGGGTGTCCTAATTAATTTTAAGAGTTTTGAGCCTACTCTATTTCATGGCTCCAAGCTAAGCCGAAAATTCCTTCTTATTGAACATGTAGTTATTCGGGCTCCAATCTTTGGAAAAAGAATAAGTAAATAGAATCTAAAACTGTTTAACATTTTCTTTTTTGAACAGTTGCATCATCAGCTTTGATTATACCGTTTCATGCCATGTTATAAATTTGAAGTTTACGTACTTTGTTCTAGGATTGGACAGTGATGCTTAGAATTTATTATTTTTATTTTTTTGCCTAAAGCAGTTGGAAAGCCTACGCTAATTGGGAGACCTACAATTAGTAATTTCTAAGAATAAAATTCCTAACCTTGTTTATATGTGTTTTTACAGGAGCTTTATTGCTGAGATGACCATTTATATCAAGCAGCTGGGCAGAAGTAAGTGTTTACTGCTTCCTTGGTGCTCTGCTTCTTTTATATACAGGAGAAATCTTCACAATAAGGTCTTGAGCCACATAGATATACACTATGTCACCCAGAAAGCACATGACGTAACATTGTAGGAGAGTGGTTTTGGTTTTGTTCTGGTTTTTATTTTTGTGGCTCCAGGGTAGCCTCAAAACTCCGTGTAGCCTCTGTAGCCCAACTGGCCTTGAACTCCATTTGCTGGCCTCAGCCTCCTTAGTACTAGGATTACAAGGCTATAGCAAAGTTTCAAATTTATTTATTTCGTTGTGAAGGGTTGACAGTTTTAATCTGTAAAATCAATAATAGAAAAATTAACAAGAATTATAACAAATTTGAAAACAGCAACAGTATTCCACGAACTACACTCAAATGAGGGCTAGGTAGTTGAAGCTTACATTGAGCTAAAAGAAGGGACAGAATTTTAGGCTTTTGGGTGGGAATGAACTGGCAGCAGTCTAGGGAATGGGAAGACAATACACAATAAAAAGTTAGTGCCAGGTGTGGTGGTGCACACCTGTAACCCCAGCACTTGGGAGGCTGAGGCAGGAGGATCACTGGGAGTTTGAGGCCAGCCTTTGCTTCATAGTGAGTTCAAGACCACCCTGAACTCCATAGTTAAGACCCTGTCTCAAAAAACAAAAGTTGTTGGTGCAGATGAAGTCTCTGTGGTCAGATGTCAGATCTCAGTCTGTCTTTCTCCTGTGAAAAGGTTTTTCTTCACAAAGAGGAAATTATGGAAAATCTTGTTTATATTCGCTATTTAATTGATGTAGATTTTCTTTATAGAAATAAATTGCTTTTACAAAATAGAAACCTTTCAAGTTACTTTAATTCTGTCTAGTTTCTTAATACTGATAATTGAAATATGCCAGAGAAATGTATTTTGAGGTTGCATATTTGGGCTTTCAAGGATATTTTAGAATATTAGTAATTGCATGAAATAGAGGCTTATTCTCCAGTTTATGTGTGAAAAACAATCATACTAAGGTGATACTTCAAAGCTCAAGTAATGATAGGATGATTAGAAATCTGCTAGTTTCTGAGAACTTTAAAATATGTTTTCATCTTTTTATGTTAAAGGATTCTTTGAGTTTGAAGGGTTTTTTTGTTTTTGTTTTTTTGGTACCAGGGATTGAACTCAGGACTTTGAGCTTGCAAGGCAGGCGGCAGCACCACTGAACTAAATCCTTGGCCCTTTGAGTTTTAGATAAAGGTTGCTAAGAGGAATTTAGAAAGGAGTAAGTCAAATTACAGGATTATTAGCCTACAAGGACTGTCTAAAAATAGTCACAAAGTCAATAAGTAAAGGTTATCTTTAGGAAACACTTAAGGAATAGATTGAGATTATTAAGGAAGTTCAAAAGCTCATATGATGCCTGTATTTTTTATTCTTAGGCACTAAGTGTAAGGTTGTGTTATGCTGGAAAGATGAGGAAGTACCCCTGTGTACCTGGTTTTGTTACTAACAAGTATTGAATGATCTTCAATAAATTACGTCACTGGGGTTCAGTTTACTTAACCGGAAATTTAAAGATTTCCTCCAGTCTAAGGATTCTGCAGTTTACACTAATGATTTAAGTTTAACGTAGAAATTTTCATGATGGAGCCAACTTCTAAATGGTTCATCAGGAGGTGATGTTGAATTTCTTATCCTAGACTGATTTTTAAAAGTTACTTTGAGCTAAGGCAGGAGAATCACACAAGTTTGAAGCCTGCCTGGGCTACACAGAGTTCAAGGCCAACCTACACTGCATAGCAAGACTCTTTGTTGCAAAAAAAAAAAAAAAGTGGATGAGGAAGCATCAAGGGAAAGAGGATAAAGGCAATCTGTCAGCCCACTGACTGGATGATCAGGGTTAGTTTGATTAAGCAGAAAGCCTTTTTTATATCCCTTCCTTGCTTTATAGGCATCCTAAAACTGAATGGTGTGGTAGGAAAGGAAATTTTCTATTATATATTAGTGTTTTCTGTAGTTAATGTGAGGGATGATAGTTTCAGCGTAATGCTGGAGTCAGCAGCTGTGTCCCTCTGGCCAAATCCAACTTACTGCCTGTTTTTACAGGTAAAATTTTGCTTTAATACAGCTACACTCCTTCATTTATGTCAGGGCACATAACATTTTGTGTCAAAAACCAGATAGTAGATACTTTAGGCTTTTTAAGTAACCGTATTTTATTTTTACAACTCATTTTTCCTCCATGGTACTAGGGATTGAACCTGAGGCCTTTATGTGGAGGAAAGCCTCAATCTTTGAGACAAGGATTCTCTAAGTTGCCCATAATGGGTTCAAACTAATGATACTACTGCCCCAGCCTCCCACAATATCATTTTTAGTTGCCAGGCCTATAATTTGTATGGCACTAATTTAAGTTTTGTCACAGTAGGGCAATCATAACAACCCCATGGCTTCTAGAGCCTTACTTATTTTACTCCTTTTTTTTTTTTGTCCTGCAACAGGGTCTTGCTATGTTGCCCAGGCTGGCCTCAGACTCCTGGGCTCAAGCCATCTCCTATCTCAGCCTGCCGAGTAACTGATTCTGTTCATACCCCATTGCAGCTATGAAATACTTACAAATTCGGCCCTCATTTTTTGGTTTGATTTGGTTTGGTTTGGTTTTGTTTTTTTGAGCAGGGTCTCACTGTATGTAGTTCAGTCTGGCCTTGAACTCATTATGTACCCCATGCTGACCTCAAAGTCACAGTGATCCTCCTGCCTCAGCTTTCCTGGACCTGGAACTATTAGCTTTTATTGTAGAGGTTTTCTGACCTATGGTCTGAATAACCACTTTGGACCCAGTTCCTTTGATTGTTTTGTTTTTAGACTCTTCAAAAGTTTTATTTTCTTCTCATTTTAATGTCAGACTTTTTTCAGAAAGTTTTGTTTTCATCCTGTTTTAATTCCAAATAATGACAGCTTCGTTAAAATAGGTTGTTTGCTTTCATCATGTTGGTTTGCATTTTCATATCAGCCTGTAATCCAGATAGTTGGTTATTTATGTTAATAGAATTGCATTTGGTTAATAAATACAGTGAAAAGGAACTAAGACCTATGGCATATTGGTCTACTTTGGTACTTAGGTGCCTGTTTGTGATGTTTCTTTGTTAAAGTGATTTGTTCTTCCATCTTTGGTAATCCTGACTTTATCTTACAGGAATTTTTGCACGTGAACATGGATCAAATAAGAAATTGGCAGCACAGTCCTGTGCTTTGTCACTTGTCAGACAACTCTATCATCTTGAAGTGATCGAAGCTTACTCTGGACTTACAAAAAAGAAAGAAGGAGAGAGAGTGAGTCTTTAGATTTAGTATCCTAATAAGATATTCTAAGATACTATTTAGCATGTATTTGGCTATAGACCATTTCTGTGCCTTGTATACTGTGTTCACAGTGGATGGTGAGTAAATAATCATTGAAACCATTCTCTTAAAACTGACTCTGCTGATTTAGAGATACTTTATTATAGTCTTAGTGTCAAGTGTATGCAGTTAGCCCCACAATAGTAAATTTGTACTCGTGTGTTTTACATGATTTTCATTATTCTTTCTCTGTAGGTGGAGCCTTACAGAGTTAATATCTCTCCAGATTTAGAGCATCAGTTGATAAATGTGATTCAAGAGCTAAATCTTGAAATCATACCTCCAGTAAGTATACAGCTTTTTACTTTACCTAAAATGGAACTTCTCTGATTAAATAAGCAACTCATACTATTTTTTCTTTTCTTGTTTTTGCTTTGTATGTTTTTAAATAGCCTGTTGATCCTTCTATGCCAGTTATATTCAACACTGGAAAACTGGCCCACTTTGAACCATCTCAACGACAAAACCAAATAGGCGTGGTTCCTTGGTCACCTCCACAATCCAACTGGAATCCTTGGACTAGTTGTAACATTGATGAAGGGCCCCTGGCTTATGTGAGTACAGTATTTTTGAGATGAACAGTAGTATTTTTGAGATGAACATCCTGTTTCACATCAAAACGTATTTCATTAGTATGCCTAGGCAAGAAATGGATTTTGATTGAGTTTGCCTTCTCATTTTACAGGCTACTCCAGAACAAATAAGCATGGATCTTAAAAATGAGTTAATGTACCAGCTAGAACATGATCAAGATTTGCAAGCAGTAAGTCTGAAGTATTTAGATATATGGTTCTCAGGGATTCACAACATTCTAGAAATGTATGCGTAAGGATAAATAGTGAATATTTTGACCTTTATGGTAGGGTAGATCAAAAATATTCACCAAATTGGCAATTTTAGTTAACTCTGAGGACATCTGCTATGAGTTGAAGTCTTGAGAAGAAATTTCACTTCTTAATGTAATTTAATATAAATAGACTTGGGTTAGTAATTTCTTGATATATATTAGATAAAACATCAGTTTTATGTATTTATGTTAATATTGTATAACAAATGTTAAAAAGGGGAACATACAGAATACTAACAAAACTAGGAAAATAAGGATGTTTGAAAATGTAGTTCTATCAGATAATATTCTTTAAAAATGTAGTTAAGCAGTTCAGTTAGAGATATTAAAAATATTCTTTTAGGGCTAGGGATTTAGCTCAGTGGTGTGGCCCCCTGCCTCGCAAGTGCAAGGTCTCGAGTTCGATCTCCAGTACCAAAAAAAAAATTATTTTATGGGAAATGCTTTGAGTATAACCCAATGGAAAGTTTTTGTTTGTTTGTTTTGGTGCCAGGGATCGATCTCGGGACCTTGAGCTTGCGAACCAGGTACTGGAACCACTAAGCTAAATCCCCAACCCTATGGAAAGTTTTTATAGATAAATTTCCTAAAGAATTCAAACACTTGCTTCTAATGTAACTATTAGTAGAAATTTGATGCATACACAACTTTCCTAATACAGGTCTTGCAGGAGAGAGAGTCACTGCCTGTGAAGAAATTTGAAAATGAAATCCTGGAAGCAATTAGTCAAAATTCAGTCGTCATTATCCGAGGGGCTACTGGATGTGGTAAAACCACACAGGTTCCACAGTTTATCCTGGATGACTTTATCCAGAATGATCGAGCGGCTGAGTGTAATATTGTAGTAACTCAGGTAAGTAGCAAGTTATGAGGTATATGGACAGAGTTGGAGAGATGGCAGTGCCTACAGGCCAGGCTATTGCATAAATCCTTTTCTTCCAATATCACACACTCCTAAGCTAAACTGGACGATGACCTAAAGAGAGTCTTTGGAGTTAGAATGAAATTCAAGAATGAGAGAATTCTTTCTTCTGCATTTCACATCAAAATAATGGCATTCTCTATCTTAACACATTAGTATTGAGTAAAAAACTAGTCTGAGCAAGCATAAATAAGCCAGCAAAACAGGTAATGATTAACTTTACTGATTCCAGGTTTTGTTCTAAACAGATTTTTTTTTTTTAATACATGTGAAGTTCATAATGACCAAAGGTGTGAGTAATATTTTATTTAGTAATTATCTTTCAATAAATTAAACCCTGAAGAAAATACATGTTAACTCAGAAAGTGATAGGACTAGTATTCAGATGTAAGAGGCCTTAAGGATTCTTACTGTAGGAGTGCTGGCAAGTTTGTCCCAGTGCTTAGGGAAAAACAGTAGCATTTTCAAGCATTCTTGGCTTAAGCTATTTCTCTTTTTGACTCTTAATTTGTACTTCTGGTACTTAGAAAGATGACATTATCAAAAGTCACATATCGCCTCAGATAGGTTCAGACTTCGACATAGAAATTTTTTTTTGGTACCAGGGATCAATCTCAGGACCATGCACTTGCCAGGCAGGCACGGTGTCACTGAGCTAAATCCCTGGCCCGTGACATAAGAATTCTTAAGTAGGAGAGCATAATCAGTATTTGAGGAGGGTCATGAACTTTGAAATATCAAAAAATGTGCATTTTGTGTTAATGTACAAAGCATATTTCTGAATTAGAAGTATATTTTTTAAGGATTGTTTTATGAGAGTTAGATTTTTTTGGCCTGAAAAATTACTGAAGGGAATGAGTATTAATATCTTTATGATGACATTTTAGGCTTGAGAAAATACATCTTTAATTCAAAAACTTTTTTAAAAGTTTGAACTGCTCCAAAATTTGCAACTCCTTAAGCACAGACACACCAACACAATGGAAAATTCCATACCCTGCCTTATCACAGATTTCAGTAATAATACAGGAACTCTAAAAATACTGTATAAAATTACCTTGAGGTTTTGTATTTCAGGTATATAAGGAAAGTAAATGAATTCCTAGATTTCACATTAAGTATATGCAAATATTCTAAAATTCAATATACCCCAAGGATTTTTGTGTTTTTTTTTTTTTTTTTTTGCAGTGCTGGGGTTGGTTTTTTGTTTGCAGTATTGGGCATTGAACCTATAGGCTCTGCACATGCTAGGCAAGTTCTCTACCATTAAATTATATCCCTAATCCCTATTCCAAGCATTTCTTTTAAGGGATACTTAACCTAATCCTTCACTTTCTTTTTTTAATGTCATAGTACTCTTTGATTTCCCTTCCTGTACCCCAAACTGGCTGTGAATCTTTCTGCCTTAAAGTGGAAGTCCAACCCCAAACACTGATCCAACAAGACGTTTCTTGTTTTTAATCCTTACCCAATCTTTCTGGAGGGAGTACCTTTTTAAGAGGGCACAACTTCATAAACTGTAGACTTGAGTTCTGTTCTTTTTTTTGTTACTGGGGATCAAACTCAGATCCTTGTGCTTGCAAGGCAGGCAGCGGAACCACTGAGCTAAATCCCTAGCCCGATTCTGTTCTTTTTTTGAAACAGGGTCTCACTCATGTAGCCAGGCTTTCCTTGAACTCACTGTGTAACCCAGGCAACCGTCGCACTTCAAGCAGTCTCCAGCCTCAACCTCCCTATTGCTGTCATTACAGGCGTGTGCCATACACGCCCTGCTTGAGTTCTTTCTGTTTTTCCTTTGTGCTGCGCTCTCCCTTTTTTTTTTTTTTTTTAAAAGACAGTGTCTCACTATGTAGTTCAGGCTGGTCTTGATGAACTCACTGTGTAGATAGGGGCTGGGGATTTAGCTCACTGGAGCCGTGCCTGCCTCACAAGTACAAGGTGTCCTGAGTTAAATCCCTGGTACCGAGGGGTGGAGGGGACAAAAAGAAAAGAACTGTGTACCTGAGGCTGGTCTGGAACTCAAAGTGATCCTCCTGTCTTAGCCTCCCCAAGTGCTGGAATTACAGGCCATGCGCCACCATGTCCGGCGTCTCTCCATTTTTAAACCAAACCATTTCAGGTATATAGGGAGAAAATGCAGTTTAATAAATGAGCTAAAGACAAGTGTTCTCATTCACAAATTGTTTGCATATGACAGGATGATAAAAAAGAATCCCTGCTCAAGTGAGAAGCGCTTTTTCTGGGCCTAACCTGTTCAACCCAGACAGAATCAGCTTTTGTGTTACAGTTTTCAATATTGTGGGGTTGGTTGGTTTTTTTCTTTTTCTTTTTTTTGAAACAGGATCTCTCTTTGTCAGGCTAACCTTAAACTCACTGTGTAGCCCAGGCTGGCCTCAAACTTTCGGCAATCTTCTTGCTTTGGCCTCATGAGTGCTGGGATTAAAAGTGTGCACCACCATGCCCGGCCTTAATTTTGTGTGATTTGTTAACTAGTTAATGTACCTTCACAAATAATTTGGACATTTTTGGTGGTTTTATTTGTAAAATACATAGGTACCTGGATATATTTTTAACATTGTACAACAGTGAGCTTCAGAGTAGGTGTTGGGCCAAACATGTTACATTTGAGTATAAAAATACCTTTTATGGGCCGAGGGTTTAGTTCTTGGTGCCGCTGCCTGCCTTGCAAGCACAAGGTCCTGAGTTCAATCCCAGGTACAAAAAAAAAGATTTTATTTGCCAGACGTGGTGGCACATGCTTGTTTGTAATCTCAGCATTCTGGGACACTGAGGCAGGAGGATTGCAAACTGAGCAACTTAGCAAGATCTTATCTTAAAATACAAAAAGACCTGAGTATACAGCTCAGTGTGAAGACTGGGTTCAGTCGTTTTTAATTCCCCCAAAGAAAAAAAAATAGCTTTTATTTACCCACTAAGTAATTTGGGGGGGGGGGCGGAATAAAGCCTCACTGTGTATGTAGTTCAGGCTGGCCTTAAACTCCAGTGATCCTTCACTTAAGCTTCAGCCCCCCTAATGCTGGGATTACAGGCATATGCTACCACGCCTGGCCCTGAGTGTTTTTGTTTTATTTCTTAGATGATAGAATTGTGGACTTGAAAGACACTTAAGACATTGATTCCATCTTTTTACTCCAGATGGAATGTTTTAGTAGGTGCTTCTCTGACTCCTGCTAAAGGATTTCTAGTAGCATGGAAACATACTGTTTAGCAAAACAATGTATTCTGATTTTGGGTTGATGACTGGTTCTTTGAGACAGGGTCCTGGTATGTAGCCAAGGCTGGCCTTGAACTTGCAGTGATCCTCCTGCCTGAGCCTCGTAAGTGCTGGGATGCCTGCTCTAATTTACTAGTATAAAAAGTTAATCATCTTTATTAGATGCAAATATTACAAGTTAATGTCTCATCAAGAAGCCCCTTTCCCCTTGGTGTAAGTTTTCACCCAAACTCACTGAATTCATCTGTGCCTTTGGGCTGTCCACACCTAAGACACTTAATACTCGTAATGTTACATCCAAAAAAAAAAAAAATAGTTTTTTTTTAGATGAATTGTAATTGTTAGGATATAAATCAAGCATGTTAAATTAATGCTTTGATTACTTTAGAAATCTATACTTAGGGTTCTATGATTTCTCAATATAGCTTTTCTTCCCTCATAAAATAAACTTAGACCTTAGTGAAAATAAAGATAATGGAGGCCATCTCTATTTTTTAAAGTGTCAAGCAGAAATCTTAAAAAGTATTTTATTGCAGCCTGGTTCCATAATGGACATTTAATCCAAATGAGAAATGCAAAAGTAAAGTTTTAGGACCTTTCAGAATGTGGAGATTCCTCTTCAGATGGAGGTTTGACATACAAGAAAATACATAGTTCTGGGTAAAAAGTAGATTGTAGAATACTGTAAAAGAACAGTTTGGGACATCTCTTCAACCTCTTGGGATATAGAAAGTTTTCCTCAGAAAAAAACTTGAAACAATGATATGACCAAATTAATGGTATTTTTAAAAACCATATATACACCAGTTATTTCGTCTAATTTAGTTCATTTCTACCCACTGACTGTATCATTGGAAGCCCTAGGTTTACCTTTGCCTTCTGATTATTGGCTATAAATATGTACCTTGGGAAAACTTTTTTTTTGGTACCAAGGATTGAACTCTGATCCTTGCGCTTGCAAGGCAGGCAGCAGAACCACTGAACTAAATTCCCAGTCCAAAAAGAAAAATCAAAGTCCAGTTATGTAGAAGGAATCAGTTTGGGTATTTAATGTGTACATTTATTTAGTCTTTAACAAGTTCTGGCCAAGTTGAACTCTTATTGATACATGCATGACTGCGCAATTGGGTGGCTTGTGCCACTGGTGGTAAAAACAGATCTAACCACCTTATTGCTCTTTTTAAATAATAAAATTAGTTAAGTCTATAAATGGACCCAAGGAACAACAAAGAAATAATAGAAAAATTTGCTACTGAGCTTAATAATTTAATTTTTTTTTTTGGTACTGGATATCGAACTCGGGTCCTTGTGGCTTGCACAGCAAAACCACTGAGCTAAATTCCCAGCTGAGCGTAATAATTTAGTCATGAAATAATAATGATTTTTTTTTTT